GACAGAGACCTAACATTTCCCTTTAAACAATGCAAATGCATTTTTACAGCTTTCTTTTTGCTTACTTTTTGTTTCATTCTTTCCTGATTTCTTTCATTAAAAAAAAAAAAAACCCTACACATTATAATAAGCACCTCTAGGATTCAACAGAAAACAATGGGCTACACAGACTCTGTTGAAGACAGAATCAAGAGTCAGTTTCCTCCTCACTACTGAGAGAGAGGATAAGAGAGAGAAGGTTAGACCTCGGTCCCCACCTATCAGAAGTTACACTGGAACATAATCACCATCCTGGAGTAAGAACATAAACCTCACAAGGGCACTAGGGCGAGGGAGTGTTGATGGCGATGGTGCGGGAACGTATCATTATACGTGCTAGTCTTAAAGTTTCATTTGGAACGAATAACATAAAACTGCCGTATTTCAAAGACTAAGCTTTATTATCTATTAATAGAATAATAAAATTATGAAAATTATTCTGCTGGAATAGTTACATGTATATTAGATGAAAAAAAACTTTCCCATATAACCTAAATTAAATTTGTATTCTCAGACCCTTTAGGTAAAAAACACTTTCTGGCATGAAAGTAAAAATTCAAATAAACTCTGGTAACTATATATTCACCTTACACCCCGCAGTGATACAAGTATATTTACTTATTTATATGGAGAATTATACCCAAATTCAGCACAGGTAAATACAATGTGTCTTTCAATATAAGCAGATTTCCCAATGTAATTACTGAGGAACATGTAAAATTTTTAAGGAAGTCTTCAAAAAGAAGCTTCTACTGTTGGTCACTGGTCACTTTAAAAATGTCTGACCCTTACTGGTCTGGCTCAGTGGGATGGGCAACATCCCACAAACCACAAGGTCACTGGTACAATTCCTGGTCAGGGCACATGCCTGGGTTGTGGGCCAGGTCCCCAGTTGGGGGCATGTGGGAGGCAACAGATAGATGTTTCTCTCCCTTTCTTCCCTCCTTCGCCTCTCTCTAAAAATAAATAAATAAATAAAATGTAAAAGAATAAAATAAAAAATAAAAGTCTGCAGGCAATTTCATTCTTGAAGTAGATGGATTCTATTTACATTATTTCCTAAATTAGGAAGTATTTTTTTGTTTTAAATTTTCTTACTTAGTTATTTCTAATGTATGTTTAATCCAGCAATTAAAATTGAAATACTCAAAGCAAGTGTAAGTTTTACAATTAAATATAATTATTATAACACGAGAGTAATGAAGAATTCAATTAGAGATTAATTTGAGGTTTTTCTCTTTTCTAATGGAAGGGAGATAATGAAACCAATTACTAAAGAGACCAGTTTTCTATTTCCTGCTAACTAAAATGTGAATAATAAGCAGGCCAAGTTTTATTGACAATGCTATTTGAAACTGGATTGATTAAATTTATTTGCTGTAACACAGACGTTTCTATGCTACAATTCGAGCGGCACTGAAGAAGACAGTACTAGGATTCTACGCTGGGCTGAGACGCGGTGAGCTCCCAGCTACTCTCCAGTCCAGTGGTTTGCAAAGTGTGCCCCCTGGACCCCCAGCATCCACACAACCTGAGAACTTGTTAGAAATGCAAACTCTCAGATACCACCCCAAATCTGCTGGATCAGAAGATGGGGGTGAGGGGTCCTATCTGCCATCTGTGTTTAACGAGCCCCCCTGGAGATTCCGGGGCCCACTCGAGTGTGAGAACCAACACTCCAGGCTGTAAATCCATGCATGCCCTTCATCATCTGACCTAACCATGTCATTGCACATTTTTCCCCCTAGTTTCTTCAACTGTAACAGGGTTCATTAATGTGAAGATGGAGCCCAAAAGTTTCAAAATTTTAAAATAGGGGTTGGAAATGGAGGACAAGGCACAGGCTGGCCAAAAAGTTCATTTGGTTTTTTATGTAAGATGGCCCTAGTATCGCTTAGTTGTCTTTAACTTCATTCAAAACAATTTTGTTAAGATTATATTATGACAACTGTCCTATCAGTGTGCATTTTGTAAAAATTACCAAAATTTTTTGTGTAGCCATTTTAATATTGAAGATGGAAGAAAACACACATTTTCTGCATATTATGCTTTGTTAATTCAGGAAAAGTAAAAACTCAACTGAAACACAAAAGAAGATTTGTGCAGTGTATAGAGAAGGTGCTGTGACAGATCGAATGTGTCAAAAGTGGTTTGTGAAGCTCCGTGCAGGAGATTTCTTGCTGGATGGTGCTCCATGGTCAGATAGACCAGCTGCCATTGAGAGTGGTCAAATTGAGACATCCATTGAGAACAATCAATGTTCTAACATGTGGGAGACAGCAGACATACTAAAAATATCCAAATCAATAAAGTTGTTGGTGAAAATGAAAAAATGTGTCTTTTATTTTATGGAAAAAACTAAACAGACTTTTTGGGCCATCCCCGTAGTTCATCTCTGGCAGTAGTGAGCCACAGTAAAGGGACTGAGGACTCAAGATTCTGCTCCCAAAAGATGATGGTTCCATTTATATTCAACAAGAAAACATTCTCACTGGCTGTGAAGGACTTAAACTCCAAGCAGAGGAAACTGTCCAAAAATGAGAAGCATCAGGGAAAAACAGAAGAATTTTAAAAGGAAAAATAAAAGCAAGCAAACATATACACTACACCCACATCCCCACCAACCTCGCACAACCCAGGAAGGTCAGCAGCAAATGTACCCAGAAGTAATTTAAAACAGCTCCACATGAGAAGGACAATCCTACAAACCTATAGCACTTACAAGCATCCTGAGGCTGTAATGAGCCAGCTATGAGAGCTATAGTCATCCCAAACACTCAGCAAAAGGCCAAGTAAAATCCATTTCATTCTGATCCCAGGTAATACCACACATGTGTGTAAAGGTATGCACACCAGAGTGCAGTGCACAACTGCATGCACCCCCCTCCCAACAGTTATGCAGTGACAGTCAAAGGGAATAATGTACTGCAGCCAATACAACTATGAGGATCTTCTCAAGGGAAGGTCCTCCCTTCTCTGAGTTACCCATCAACTACGTTAAAGCCCAGGGCTAATTATCCTCCCAGCTCAAATCGGCTTTCTGGTTCTGAGCCTGGCACATGGCTTTACAGAATCTTAAAACAAGGCAAAACCAACATGTTTCCTCCGCTTTCATTTTACACTCACAAGGAGAAGGCTGGAGTTTTAAAAATAACTTTTAAGCAGCCAAGGAAACCCAGCAGTAGCATGAAATGAAAGCTTTTACTGAACACAGGCATTGGAAAAGCAAGGCTCTAATCCAAGCTAGTCACAAATCCTGTCCTAAGGTATCAGCTAAGAAAGGCCTCTGACTTCACAGGTCTTGTCAGAATATCCAATATAGTCTATAAAATATGCATTGGAATTCACATGCTATTAAGTATGTTTAAATTTACAGAATTACTGTGAGGTATTTTATTATATGTAATAATTCAGAAATTAAAAAAGTAAAATAATCTAATTCAGAACACATACATCTCCCAACTAACCAAAGCTTTACAACGGCAATATTTTGGGTTCTTGACAAGAGAAGGCAGAATTAAACAAAGGTACCAAGCAAGCAGTGATTTTAGAGAGCCAAGTAAGTACGAGTAAGTCCACAGCAATCAAGGAGCGGGGAGATGTAGGGAGAGAAAGAGGACTCAACTCTCCTGCCAATCGACCCCACTCTATTTCTAAAGAGCTCATCAAAGGTAAAGGCACTGAAGCAGCTGCCTGCAATGGTCCGCATTTGCGAGCAGGCAGTAACAGTATGGAAATGAAGGTGTATCTAACTGACCGCGTTAAGGAAACTGATGCTGACAAGTCATCTGATTTCCTTTGACAATTTAGCTGTTTTGGGTCGGTTGCTTCAATCTTAACACTATCCCAGAGCGCCTGTGGACAACTGTTCACTCTCAAAGGGTTCCTCATCTGAATTGATTATTCCCGGAACACAGGCTGCAGGCTTTGTCAAATGACAAAAAGAAAACTGAGGCCCATAAAGAAGTGAAATTGTCATCTGTGTTGACAGAACAAGAAACAGGAATGGGCAAGAGCTGGTATCTGGAGTTTACTTCAGCCTAGGTCGTGTGGATTCTCGTAACCTACACTGAACAATTTCTACATAAACCTATCAGGGCTCAATTACTTCATTCCATAGTATAGTGTAGCAACCTCAACCAATTTTAGAAAAGTTACTTTTATAAAATCTAAATGTTTCCCAGAGATCATCTTGGCAGTACCAAGTTTATTTTAAGCCACCTGATAGTAAAATATGAAAAGACCACAGTGCCAAAAATACCACTGTCCACTGTAATATGACTCAAAGTCAGCACTTCTGTTCAGTGTTGATTTGTATCAAATTAAACCCTGGCTTAAGTATACTAAAAAGGTTGCTTTTACAGAAGTCTCACCTGATACCAAGAGGTAATGTTATGCTGCCTAAGAGATGTAATATTACTTAAGGTATAACACTAACTCTTCTTTTCCATCCTAGCAGGCTTTTAACACAAAGGTGATTTCTAGTTACCTAAGGACAAACTTAGGCACAACAACCACTATCACAAATGGTATAAAATGTTTCCAACTATTCCCTAGAACAGGGAAGAACCACCAATTACTAAACTAGACAATAACCTTAAAAGAACTCCACAGCACTGCTCACGCTTATTTCACCACCCAGCTGGGTCTAGCCTTCAGTATTCCAAACGGAGGTGGGCCCGCCCCACCCAAGCAGAGCGACCTTTCTCTCCGTCCCATTTAATGAGGCACACATCTCAGTTTAAAGGCTGTAACCTGACATGAATTCTTCACATACAACTAATTCTATGAAATTTAAAACACAGCATAGTCAGTAACATTAGAGATTAGAATTATGAACAAGAATAATGGTTACTTATCGTTTGTTCACTAACTTGAAAAACTGTACTTTTCACTTGCTCTGTTATTTTCCAATACATGAGGAAAAAGAAAGAAAAAGAGAACCTGTTCCGTGGACCTACGTTTTGGCTGTGACATCCACGTACTGTCCTGGGCGAAAGTGAGCAGCGTAGAGAGGAGTGCCTTTATGAAAAGAAAACAAACAAAAAAACAATATGAAGTTTGTCTGCCCAGAAATCACTAAACATAAAACACACCTAGGTAACAGATTTCAAAAATGGTAGGAGAGTCTCTTCTGCAATTACAATCACTGCAGAAACACCAACTCTAACATAACAAAATTACTGAACAAACACACATTAATTGACTACAAGGGCTGAAGAACACCGTGCCCCAGCATGAGGGACGTGGTGTGGGAGCGAGCCAGCGGAGCGCGGCTGGCGGACGGTGCACTGTCGATGTGGTGCTGCCCCAAAAGACACTGTTTCCTTGCTGGTGAACAGGTGTTGGATGATTCTTGGTTGTTTTGGTAACAATGCACTAAATTAAAGTAAATTTCCTATTTCATGTAAGACAAATAAAAAGAGAATGACAAAAAATGTTGGAACTAGATCAAATCTTTTTTTACCCATTAGGGATAAGTTATCTAAACTAGAAACTTGAATTATTTGAACACATGTCCATCATTCTCTGGGTAATAATAGTGTGTATAATATCCCTATAAAGCCCATACACATCAGATTTTTTGGAGACTGGTCATTAGTCCAATAAAATACAATTATTCTAGCATGGCCCAGATATCTGGAATAGCAAAAAGCTGCTACTATAGATACCCCTAATTTTATATACTAATGTTTCCAAAACTAGTTGTATGTAAATAAAATCTTCCCTTAAGTGCACTTGGGAAATGTACTATTTAATGGAATCTTGTAGCACAAAACCCTTCACAGTATTGTATTTATATAAATTGGAATTAAAACTTATAAGAACTATTTACTGTATTTTTTGGACTATAACACGCACCCCCCACCCCCTAATTTGGGAGGAATAATGGTTGTTAATGCTGCTGTTGAGTTCTGTTTACATTTACACTGGTGAAATATTATGTTATTTATATTAGTAAATATTTTACCGCATTTTGCTTCAAAATTTTTTCCCTATTTTCCTCCTCTACAACCTAGGTGCATCTTATGGTCTGAAAAATACGGTAATCTGGCAGTTAATCTCCAAACATTTACAGGGCACTTACAATATGTAAAGTGAGAAATATGAAAGTATAAGACATGGCTCCTGACCTCAAGAATTATTATCTAAGGGGGGATGGGGAGAGGCGTTTGAGGGTATGGGGGGATAATGGTGACAGACAGAGATTGGACTTGGGGTGGTGAACACACACATAGTGTACCGATGATGTGTTGTAGAATTGTGGACTTGAAAACTGCGTAATTTTGTTAACTGGTGTCACCCCAATAAATTTAATTTAAAAAATTAGTATCTAGGTGAAGAATCAACATTACATGACCAAATAAGGGAACATGAAAAGATATTTCTCCAAAGACATACAGATGGCCAACAGACATATAAAAAGATGCTCAACATCACTAATCATCAGGGAAATGTAACAAAACCACACTAAGATACCACCTCACATCAATTGGAATGGCTATTATTCAATAAATAACAAGTGCTGGCAAGGATGTGGAGCAAAGGGAACCCTGGGCGCCGTTAGTGGGACTGAAAATTGGTGCAGCAACTATTGAAAACAGTATGAAGATCCCTCAAAAAAAACCCTAAAAATAGATATACTAGCACTGGCTGCTGTGGCTCAGCTGGTTGGAGCATCATCCCATAAACCAGGCGTGTCAAACTCATTTTCACCAGGTGCTATATCAGGTTCATGGTTGCCTTCAAAGGGCTGAAGTAATTTTAGGATTGTATAAATGTGCAGTTACTCCTTAACTGTTAAGGAGTTTAAATTACATTCGGCCCTTTGAAGGCTGCAACTGTGAGGCTGATGTGGCCCCTGGTAAAAATGAGTTTGACACCCCTGCCATAAACTGAAAGGTTGCAGGTTTGACTCCCAGTCAGGGCACATGCCTAGGTTGCTGGTTCTGTCCCCAATTGGGGTGTATGAGAGGCAACTGATCATTGTTTCTCTCTCACATTGATGTTCCTCTCCCTCCTTTCCCCTCTTTCTAAAATCAATAAGCATATCCTCAGGTATTTTTTTTTAAACAAAATAAAATAAAAGTAGATATACCATAGGATTCAGCAATTCTACTTCTGGGTGTTCATTAAAAGAAAATGAAAACAGTAATTCGAAAAGAGATATGCATCCCTATGTTCACTGAAGCATTATTTATAATAGCAAGAATATGGAAGCAGCTTGAATAAACAATATATGGTATATATACACAATGAAATGTTATGCAGCAATAAGAGAAAGTAAAATCTTGCCACTTGTGACAACATGGATGGACCTACAGAGTATTATGCCAAGTGCAATTAAGTCGGGTAGAGAAAAACAAACACTGTGTGATTTCACTTATACGTGGAATCTATAAAAGAGACAAATGAACAAACAAAACAGAACAGAACAAAAACAGACTCACGGAAACAGAGACCAAAGGGACGGTTACATGAAAGGAGGGGTGGGGAGCTGGGTGAAGACGGGGGAGAGGGAGACAGTCAGCGATACTGTGACACGGCCGCCCAGTTCACAGGTGATGACTAGAACCAGTGGGGTCATCACACTGGGACGTAGAAAAAGGGCAAATCGCTATACTGTACACCTGGAACTAATACAACTAATAGTGCTTGCCAAGTATACTTAAATTTAAATAGCTGGAGCTGATGTAATAGAGGAATCATGGGAAGATAATTTTTGTTCGCTTGTTTAAAAATGGGAGTAAAGTGCTGTAGAATTCCAAAGGGTAGTATTTTTTAAGGTAGTGCCTAAACTGGATTTGTAAGGAGAAAAAGACCTTGAGTTAAGAACAAACAGGTGAAGTAGTGACAGCATGGATGGACCCAGAGGATGCTACACTCAGTGAAATAAGTCAAAGACAAAGACAAATAACAAATGATCTCATTTACAAGTGAAACCTAGAGAACAAAGTAAACAAAACAGAAACAGACTCATAGTTGCAGAGAACAGAATGATGGTCAGCAGAGGGGAGGTGGGCTGGGGGACTGGAGGGAAAATGTGAAGGGATTAAGAAGTACACACTGGTAGTCACAAGCAGTCATGGGGATACACATATACATACAGCACAGTAAATACAGTCTATAGTCAATATTGTGATCACTATGTATGGTACCAGGCGGGTACTTGAAATATCAGGGGTATCACTTTGTAAGGTGTATGTCTAATCACTATGTTGTACACCTGAAACTAATACAAAATAATATTGAAGTTAAACTGTAATTGAAAAATAAAATTAAAAAAAATAGGAGAGACTAATAATTTCTATGAGGTTAACTGACCCGAATTGCTGATATTTGACTACTTTTCACACAAAAGAATAATTTCACATGGTCTAAACTACAGCAAAAGTTAATGCGGACTTAATTTTTACATTTGTTAGTTTAATTCCACTGAATTGCGAATCTTATACTTCAGAAAAATACCTTTCAATTCTAACTTACACCAAGGCTGACCCTCTGTCATGCCGAGTAATAAGGTCTATTACAATTGCAATTTTACTTCAAAAACTTCAGCCCAGATATTAAAATACCGAATCTTAAAATTATGTTCTTGTTAGAACTCAAGTTCAAGAGATCAGAGAGCTCTTCTGAAGTTTAAAGGCATCAATGCTGTTAATTACAGTACATAAGCCAATATAATCATATTGCCAAATCTCATTTTTTAATATTCCATGGAGTAGGTAAAATACTTTGAAATTTTTAGGTAATAATTTTTACATACAGGTACTATTTTTGGGCACTAATTTCAGGCCATTTTCTTTCAAATTCTCTCTTGGTGGATGTGCAGCCGTTCTCCACGTAATACAACGCCAACCTACACACAGTAAGCCTCCCATTTTAACAGCTGACGTATTTAAAACTTTGAGAGGTCTTTCCATATGTGAAACTCTCTGAGCATTAAAACAAAAGTGCTCCTCCCTCTGTCATGGAAACCAGAGTTCTCCACAGTTCTTTTCACTGAAAAAAGAAAGACTTGTTTGCCATTAGTGATTGAAGCAGATACATTTTTATATTTAAAAATACACGGCTGGGACTTTGCACTGTGGTTCACCTTAGCTGAAAGGGCTGACGTTAAACAAATCACGTACTTGGGTATTTTTTTACCCCCCTCTTCACCCAACCTCACATTACCTGGTTTAATTGCAGCATTATCTGTTATGCGAAATATTTTAATTTTCTGTTTTGGTGGCAATCCAAGTTGTTGGTAAAATTCCAATTTAGGTGTAGATTTCTGGAGGAAAAGCAGCACATAAATAACACATTAATACTGAAGGTTTAACACAGATCCAATGCAAGTTATTAACACACCAGAAAACAAACCGATGAGCACTCTGTTCCCCTAAGGAACAAAGAGCACCCTAGTCATTGAAGGGAGGTGAGACTTTCACCTACGATCCACTACACATAGGATCCAACCACAGTGTAGCTAGAACACCCTACACGTACACAGGGAAAGACCTTTGTTCTGTAGGAAAAGAAACAGAGTTGTGCTGTATTTGAATTTTCACTGGAGACTATGTATCAAGAACCCCAATCCTGGGAAATTCAACCCTGTGGACTGGATTCCTGTTTCCAAGCAGCTACAAGAAAACTCGGTAGGTCACATTCAAATACATGATCACAAACTTCAAAGTGAATCCCAAATGTGGCCTGGCCGACCTACATCTCCCTCCCCTGGTTAAATAATTCACTCTCTCCAAGGCAACTACGTCATAACCACTTTTAAAATCACCAGCACTGTTCCCTTCTTCTCCCCTCTTTGAGCTGATCATGTTGCTTCTTACTTCACTGAAAGAACACAGAAGAATTAGGAGCATTCCCCACACTCCGTCACCGAATCCCCCTCACAGTCCACATCGGCACTTACATTCCTATGTTGTCCTCCTCCCGCCTCGCTCCCGGTCACCCGAGATGCACATGGGGAACTTTTAGAAAATGCCAATGCCCGGGGCCTTCAGCTTGCAGACTGTAACTTCACTGGTCTATGAGGCACCTAGGCCTCGGTATTTTTTTAAAGCACTCCGTGATTGTGATGTGAGAAGGGCTGGAATCACAATGACAGATGAACTGTCATGCTCTCATTAAGAGCCACATCTCATTCCCAAGCCCCTCATCCATTCAATTTACTACTGAAGTTGTCCCCATCGTCTTCTGAATCACTAATTTCCCAGCTTCTCCCGAAACTGTCCTGTTGGTATATGAAGTTGTCACAGTAACTCATGTTAGAACAAAACTCTTCCTTAGCCAGTCTCCTTTAGCTGGTTTTTTGCTCCCTGAAAGAGTTGCTGGGTCTGTTTCCTCTCCCCTCACGCTCTCAAACCTCCTTTAGTCAGGAGCTCTCAGCCCCATACTCACGATGGGAAGTTTTTGTCAGATCACCAATGCCTCCACGTGGTCAAATACACTGGCCAACACTTACGTTATTAGCTCTATCGGTAACATTTAGGACAGGTGACCACTCTCCCCCTGAAAGACTTCCAGTTACTGCTCCCTTGGGTCCTTCCTATGCTACTGACCTCACATTTGTAATTTCAATCCCAAATTCTACTCTGAACTACGAATTCATTATGTCTAGCTGCCAACTCAATATCTTACTTTGATGTCATACAGTAACTCAAATTTAACTGGTCTAAAATTGAAATCAATTCCCCCCCCCTTACTCCCCAAGCCTGCTGTCCTCTTATCTTCCAAATCGCAACAAATGGCAACCCCATACTTCTGCTGCTGGACCAAAAATCTCCTGGTCACCTTTGACTTCTTTTTCTCCTCACATCCACCAGCAATTCCTGCAGTTTATTTAAAAAACAGCCCACATCAACTGCCTCTCACTTCCCACTCCACCCGACCATCTTTTGCTTGGATTATTTCAATAGACTCCTAAACTAGTCTTCAAAATGCCTACTCCTGACCCAGGTCTGTTCTCCATTCACAGGCTGGCATGTGCTTTTTACAACTCAGGCTACTCCATGTCCTTACAATGGCTTCCGTGTCGCGCAGAATCAAGTCCTAAGTCCTCACTGTGGTTTATAAGGCTCTATACAATCCGACCTCCTCTACTGCTCTTCTCCTGGCTCACCCTGCTTCAGTTCAGGTGTAGTACATTTCCTACTAGTCTAAGAACACACTGGACAGTGGCCTCAGGTCCTCTGCACATACCGTTCCCCCTACCTGGAATGGTTTTCTGCCAGACTTCTGCAGTCACTTCACTTCATTTCAGTCTCCATCTAAACATCAACTGACCTTTCCTGATTGATCACTATCTAAAGAAGCACTACTTCTTGTCATTCACAATCCCCTCAGCTTATTTTATTAGTCTTTAAAATACTTCTCTCAATGTACCATGATATACAGCTTTAATTTTTTATCTTCTACGCAACAGCCTCCCAGTCTCACCCCTAATCCCACCAACACGTAAACTTCTTGAGAGCAGAGACTTTAGCTGCTGCTATGGCTGAAGCGCCTGGTAGGTCCCCCACCTGCTTCTCCCTTCACCACCACCTTTTCTTTTTCTTTTATTTTAAACATCCCTGAGTAGAAAATTTTACGGACATCTTACTTCCTTACCACAATGTCCTGGGTATTTTTTAAATTAAGACTCTTAATATATGTTGCTATAAGACTTGCCAAAAAAGTTGTACACTTAATATTTTCCTGATGTGAACAGTGCCTCTTTCATGAGAATACAGCCAACACAGGCACATCCATCTTCCTGCTGCTCCCTCTCCCTCCACTTCCCCTCTAACCATACACGCAGCACCAGCAGGCCCTCAATGAGCCGTGGTATTCTACGTATGCTTACCTGTGTCCGCCTCTGCCAGGCTCTCACCCTACAATCTCCTTCCCCCCGTACCTCCAAAGCTCATTAAAAACCTGTTAAGTATACGTTTAGCCCCAGATGCAGTGGTATTTCCTGTCCAGACCCCTCCCTGAGCAGCCTCGCCAGAGCAGACTGCTCTTCCACCCACGCCAGCTCCAGACCTTATGTGGGTATCAACTGTCGTCCACGTTCCCTCACATTTATTTAACTTACATGTCGGCCTGCCTGCTAGTCTGTGAGTCCCTGGAGAGGAGGGGCCGTTTTACCCAGGTGTCTCTGTGGCATTATTAGCTCACTGCAGACACTGCAAAGTGAGCTGACTGAATGGTGGGAAGACACAGAGAGAGAAGACAGACGTCCACCTGGGTGTGAAGTCCTGGCCTGTCCCTCTGGGACACCCTGCCTTTTCATTCTTACCGCTGCTGCGTCAGTTCTGAGCACAGGACACTGCTGTGTTTGTGGCCTGACAGTGCGCGGCCTCTAGCTTCCCTTCCAGTAATTAAAAACTCATACGCCTAAAAGAAACATCATGACTTATTTTGAGGACGAACAAATTTATAAGAAATTAAGCTACTATAAAGCCAAACCAAGAGTAATTTGTAATTTTAAAAAAGAACAAGAAGAGCAGCAACTGAATAACCTTAACCAGCTACAGATGACACAGGTGACTTTACTGACACAAAGCATCCCCCCCCCAATCCAGTGGAGCACCTGCACAGCCAGACTTATCTGATTATGTAGCAAACCTCAGGGACTTGCTAACTTCTGTTTAAACGTGACCTGTTAGTGCCCCTTTGTAACTTATTGAGTAGGCTGACTTTCGTGGACATGAAATTGGGAGGCACTGGCCTGCGAACATAGAACTTTAATTTCTGGGTCAGTCCACACTCCCTGGGACTCTCCCTGGGGCCCCCAGGTGGGACCGTGCAGCAAATGCTGAGCCCGCCTGCTTCTGTGTCCGCTGAAGACTGTTCTGTAGCTTGGAGACTTCCCTCAAGACGCCACCCTCTCCCCTGGGAGTGATGACGTGAACTCACTCCAGTCGTTCTTGGTGCTTTCACTCCCCCCTTGCTGAAATCTAAGAATAATATCACCAAGCCCTGGCTTTTCATTTTAATCACACTCACATGTTCTATAACATAAGCAAACAAAAAAGTTTTAAATGTGGCTCCTTGAAATTATCCTACTTTCCTAATTAATCAGAGTCAGATGTATCAAATTTTAAAATAGACTTCAATTTTAACATTTACATATTCCAACTGGTGGTGTAAAAAGCATATTATTTTTATTAATATCAGTTTTTATGTATCAGGAGGCTTCTGAGAAAAATCCTTTACCTTTTTAGTAATAAAAAAAGACAAGATAAACATCTTGACCTAACTATAGACCTAACTATAAAAAAAAATATAGTATTTACTTGATTATCTTCCAATTTCACTAAAATTGAACATTTCAATTTTTTTCTCTTAAAAATCGGAACATCATATAACTAGTTAGGTATCAGTCATGAGAAAAATCAAATGCTCAAGTGGAGCTGAAACCAGCAGAACTGTAACAAAGGAGTTTTTTTTTACTGTAACTTCCCAATAACTTCAAAGGCCATTTAAAAGCCTGGCAGCGAGGCCACCCTTGGACGAGCCTGTCTGTGAGGCTGCACGTTCCCCACCCCACGGTTTCTGCAGGTGTCCTCTCCAATGAAAATGCCGTCTGCTCCTGAGACAAACTGATTTCATCAACGTTTAAGTCTACTCAGCTTCCTCACTCAAAAATACTATGCGCATCACGTCAATTTTTATTTATAATAAGGTACCAAAGTAGCAAAAACAAAATGACTCCCATTCTTGGTGGCATAAATCTTTTCTAGATTAAAATAGAACAGTTTTAACTCTATTATAAATAAAATTGATTCCGTTTATTTTAAAACACTTAACTATTTGATAATATCCATAGGTCTTCCTCTCTTAAAACCCTTCATAATCTATCTACTTGCAGTTTCCCTCAGGGTTACAATATGCAAGAGAAAGTTTGTATACTTCCAGTTTAAATTTCTTTTTCCTTTCTGAATCAAAATGCTTTACTTATACAGAACTCTGTAACTTCACCTCCACATGCCATTCTGAAGAAAGGCCACTCAGAGGCAAAGCTTTTCCTCAATATGGTAACAGGTGTCCTCTGCACCTACACGGTCTGTGCCCTGACGAATGAGAAAGGTCTCTGCAGCACCACCCACACTGAGAAGTGAGCGGTATTCAACGTTTATGTTGTTGGTTAAAGTAATTTCTGTAATATTTGGGTGTTATGACTTTTGTTTTCTTGAACCCTAGAACATTAGAGAAACAATGTGAGACTTAGAACTGGGAGAGATTCAGAGCCCATCAAGGCCAAGCCCCTGTTCTCATGGGTCAGAAAATGGATGTTCTAAATGGTGGAGTGAAAGAGGTAACAGCAGAAACCAGGATTAGAACTCAGCTCTTCTGACCCTCCGCCCACCCGTTTTTCCACTCTCTTGTAGCTGTGAGGAAGTAATGCTCACAGATCTGTGGATGCAAAATGATTATCCCAAAATGATGCTCATTTACAAATATCAAGGCTGTAAAGTTGTAAATTTATAATAATTGCTAATAAAAATAAAGATGATGCTGCTTGTAATAACAAAAACACAGAAACACAATCAATTAGAAAACAGTGGCATCCATTAAACCAAAAAATGATTCGCATGATTCATCTGAAGGCTGGCACATATTTATACAGTTAAAAATTCAAACATTTGGCATTTAAAAAGAAGTTTCCATAAATAAGTCATTGTGCTTTTAATTATGGTGGAATTATTTGAACCCCGAAATCACTAGTCAATAAATTGTCCAAAATTATTAGCAGAATAGATATTGCTATAATGCTCTAATGAAAAATAAACTATACTATTACAATGTGCAAAAACAGTTAACTTCTCTAATACTTATGAGACAGACCGACCAGCCTAACATCCTATTAAACTAAAGGACTGGATGATTTTGATTACAAACAAGTCACTAATCAGTATCCGAGTACATCACTGTTTACAAGACAACTCCACCTAGATTTTATTTTCTCTCAACACTTCAAACACACCTTTCCTCCCATTTCCCTTTCTCTGTCTCTGTTCAAGGCTAGAGCACGAGCACTGACCTGGTAAGAAACCGCTCTGGGCCCGAGTCCTCTAGCCGCACATGCACACTCACAGTCTTTCTCACATCTCTGCTCCTTCCAAGCCTCCCAATGCAACTGCCCAGGTTCAAAAGCCTTTATCAACTCTCCCCTAGTGCTTAAGCCAACTTCCTGAATATCCCCCTCCATCCATATTCTTATCATTTATTTAACCAAGATAACAATTTGACCCCTTACTACCCTGGTTGAAGAATCAGAAGCCCCCCTGGGTCTACAGGATGAAGTCCAAGCTCCTTAGCCCTCCATCCTGACAGGTACGCCTTTGCCACCTTCCCCACTGGTCCCACACCCACATACCAAGATCAAGACACACTGCACTTCTCTTTGCAAGCCCACATACTCCTCCACATCTCTGGTCCCCCAGAGACCACTCCCTCTGGCGTGCCTTTAACATGTTCTCCTTTCTGGTCTCCTTCCTGTTAAACCTCAGAGGGTCTGTCCAACCAGAAGTGGCCATCACCCATTTTGTGCTTGTGCATTTAAATACTATGTTGAGATCACCGATTTACTTGAACATCTTCCCCATTAGCGTGTGTGATCCCAGAGGGTAGACATCAAGTCACAGTTAAGAAAGTAAGGCTCTGGGGTCTGCTTGTCACTCTGCCTCTTACCAGTGGATGGCCCTGAGTGAGCTGCTAACTAACTCTCTTTAGCCTCAGAGGGTGAAAGATTAATTAATAAATGTAAGGGCTTAATGCTTCTGTACCCAGTATGTAATAAGTGCTCAATAAAAGTTACCTATGACAAGTAAACAAGAGGTGCACAATAAGCATTTGCTAGTTTTTACAGATGCACAGTATAGGTTGTATCCTAATTTCCATCCATGTTCCTTTCACAAACGATTTACAATGGAAAAATGTTTATGTTAGAGGTAAGCAATGTTTTAGTAAGCCTGCAGATGTTTCAGTATCCATTAGTGAAAACCATCGCTATTTCTAGAAAGGTACTCTCTTCTTTCAGTCATCCAGTAAAAGATACTAATTGTGCAGATTTTTCAAAATTAAACTACAAACTCAGCATTCTATTAACATTCTATCTGGGAAAAATGCATCACTTGAAAAATATACAAAACTAACCTTTATGCTGTTGTTAACTGTTGAAACAATTTAGAAAAAAATGAAACTAAACATAAAACAACAAAATGATTCTTAAAAAAAATATTATTGAGTGTCTTGTTACATGCCAGGCACATCTGAAAACTCTCATATAATCCTGGTACCAAACCTCTTACGTACGCAGTATTTCTATCCCCATTTTACAGATGGGCAAACACCGCAGCCTACAGGGCAGGTACTTGCTTGAGACAGTGAGGAGAGGTACTGGAGCAAACTCAGTCTCTCTCACTCCGGGGTCAATGGCTCTACTGGACTGCCTCTCCCAGACCCACAATTTATCTCATGGACAAACACAAGCCTGTGGCAATGGAATATACTCAAAACTTAAAGAGTTCAGGTCTGAAACTAGTAAAATGTTACTATTCTAGGAATGAAAATACATCCTTACATGGAAACGGGATACAGTTTTTCCTCCTACAGTTAGGGCTCCCATTTTTCCATCATAGTTTTCCTTTGGAGTATATTTTAGGACATGACAGTCTTGTACCTATAAACACAAACAAAACAACAACTAAGTATGCGCCAAGATACATTTTAACATTACACACCAGTCACACTGAGGCCCTAGGACAATTAGTAATTCCCTACAAGTTTCTTACTCCTCTAACACCAACCACACCCTTAACATACAGATAACTTTTGAAAAAAAAAAGGTCAAATACAACACATATAAAAAAGGGCATAAAACAGAAATATACAAAATGAGTATTTATAAAGAAAATGTGCATAAAACCACTACCCATGTCAAGAAGAAAAATCCCTAAAACCTCTGTCTCCTCCCAATCACCGCCCCCTCCCCCAACCCTTCTTTTCTTTTCCAAACCCCTAGAGCAGCGGCTCTCAAAGTGTGGTCCACACACAAACAGCATCAGCATCACTGGGAACTTGGTGGAAATGCAGGTTCTCAGGCCTCTGCACAGCTCTGCTGTTTCAGAACCTCGGTTTTTCTGAAGCCCTCCAGGTGATTCTGAGATGTACTGCCCTAGAAATAACCACCACTCTCGACTTCATGGTACTCCTTTACTATACTTGTCTTTCTAATAATGAAAGCACTGTTTAACGATGTAGTTTAGCACTGTCTGCTTTGAACTTTGTACAAATGGCATCAGGCTGTACTCTTCCATGCCTTACTTCTCTCACTCAGGACTACATCTGTGAGGCTCACCCATACTGTTGCACGTAGCTCCATTCTGCTCCTCTCACTGCTGCCCAGCATTCCACCACGTGAATACCCTGATTCACCCATCCTACTGCTGATGGACCTTTGGGCCATTTCTAGTTTTGGAGTTTTAAGAGTAATACTGCTATAAACATTGTTGTACAGTTTGCATACCCGTTTAAATCTAGTAACGCTCACAAATGGAATCGCTATCTGACAAGGTTGGCTTATCTCAATTTGACCACATAAGGATAAATCCTTTCCTGAAGTGATCATACCAATTTACAATCCCACTAATCATTCCTGAAAGCTCCCCAAATTCCTTAGAGTTCTAGAAACTATAATCCTACCCTTGTTCATTTAGAGTCAGGAAAAAGTTACTAAGGGCCTGTGGGCTCCTGATGCCCATCAGCACTGAGTACTTACATGTGTGAGCCCTTATTTTAATTACCATCACCTGCCTAATCAGTTGTCTAAGGCTGGGCTGAGCAGAACTGTCCAATGTGATTTGGAGAATGATAGTCTCCTAACATTATCAGTGATCTTTTTATAATTATAATGATGAAGACAATAGCAGCCAACATTTAAACTACAGCCAGAAAAATAGCAGCCAGACATTTATACTGTTTTACATTTTAAGTGCTTGATGTTTATCATCTTGTGCAATCCTCACCATAACTTTCTGAGAAAGGTCATAATTACTTCTTTTACAGAATAGTATATATTTTACAGAGGAGACGCTGCTCCAAAGAAAACAGAAGCAACAGAACCGAGACCTGAAGTCAGGCCTTCTGGTCCCAGGGTCCACATCATTAACCATCGGAGGAGTTTACTTCATCTCAGAGAACAGTATGGCTTCCCCTGACAAGAGTGTTTCATTCTGAGTTAGCAGAGAGATCAAAATATTTTTGGAGTTGAAAGAACATCATAATGAAAATAAGATGGAACTGAGATTTTTTTTTTCTCCTCATGCATTAAACTAGTAAGTCTGCGATAAGCTAAGTTACAATCATTACAATCTTTTTTTGTTAATTGTCTCAGGTTTCCCATGCCAGTGTCAAGAAGGCTGGCACTCAGGCAAGAATGAGAACATTTACTGAAACCATTAGAAAGAAAGTTCTTCAACAGTATTTTTGCTCAACATCAACCTTCTTCAATACACATTTATATTTCAGGGTATAAATGTTGCCCATTTAGGTTTGCACAAATAGATTTTGGCACACACACAAGTCTGTTACATGTCCTGGAGTCTGTTCCTTACCTGGAGTAATGTGGCCACATGCTTTTGACCATCTTTGGTCCATAAAGGCATCATGCCCAACTTCAGTGCAACAAGGCCTACTCTAAGGGAACCTGGCAATTAAAACCAAATGAATGTTAACACAAGCTTTTCAACATTTGCCAACATGTTGGAACAGTATTTTCTAAATTGTGATTTCAAAGTAAGAAGCAGGCAAATAACAAACATGCTGATATATTAACAGAGTAAAACACAACTGTTCCCGACAGATGAAAGCACCTTCAACCATGCCTGACATTAAGATATTGTACTCAGCCCTGGCTGGTGTAGCTCAGTGGATTGAGCGCGGGCCTGCGAACCAGACAATCGCGGTTCAAATCCCAGTCAGGGCACATACCGGGGTTGCAGGCCGGTTCCCTGCAGGCCAGTTCCCAGCAGGGGACGCACAAAAGGCAACCATACACTGATGTTTCTCTCCCTCTCTCCTTCCCTTCCCCTCCAAAGATAAATAAATAAAAAAATTTTAAAAAAAGGAAAAAAAAGATATTGTACTCAATAAATCTCCATATAATAAAGAAATATAAGAGGACTTTACAAAATAAAGAAAACAGTTAAATGGATATATCTTATCTTTAAATAGTGGTATTGATAGAGAGTATGATAAACAGCAGACTCTTTATTTAGAAAACATCTACAACTCAAATTCTAAAAAGTGAGCTGGGGCTATAAGGATGACATAAGTGGTAACATTGCTAAAATATGGTGGCCTTCACCATGACACTTAGGTTTGCTGCATAAGTTGATAAAGTTGCTCCACTCTACAATTCAACCATTATAATAAACCCCCACCAGAAAATGCATGCTCAACAGGAAAGGCCTTATTCTTCTTGGTCTGCCCACCTGTGGGATCAGCACTCTACCAGGCACAAAGAGCTGACTGTGGGGTTATGCTTGGCAAACCTGGAGTGCTAGAACACCCCGACTGAAGACACCTGTGCTACACAATTTAGATCAGCTCTTCCAGATTTCCTTCTCTGATTTATTTTTGTTATTTTTAGTTGAAGGAAACAAGAAAGCATATGCAAAATGATTCTCATTTCACATACAAACAGCTCCTTCGATAAGTCTTCATTATCACCAGACACTGACAACTGCAGAATAGGAAGCTGGAAATAAACTTGCAAACCAAACCACAATGAAACAAAACACTGAAAACATGAAAAATAAATTCAAGAGATGATATATTTATCAAAGCAGTCACTATAATTTTGAATGTGCCAGCCACAAAATAATTAGGAGAACTCATCATATACAAAATAACCACCTGGTTTCCAAGGGTGTACAGGCCATGGTTCATCTTTCAGAGGACACAGTTTACTTGCTAATTGAGCTTTATCTTCATCCGAGACCAACTGCTTAACAAATGGAACATTTTCTTCAGAAAGATGCTCATCCCACCAAGTACTACTCTTGCCATGGAGACTTCTAACTAACAGCCAGCTGTCTGCTCTGTAAAAATAAAAATGAAGAAAACAAACCACAATTACAAAGTTTCTCTATTTAATATAGAGAGGGGAGGTCACATGAATTGGAAAGTGTCCGTCAGGGCCTTAGGAAAAGGCCTGGATTCCATGCAACTTTCTTCCCCCATGACGTTCCTTATGATAATAATGGGGCTCACATTTTAAGTATGAATAGTTACCCTGGAGGAAAAGTACTTCATCTTTTCTTCCTGGATAAACAGTTTTCTGACAAGGGAGTCCTACCCGCAGGTGGGAGCAGTCATTTGTATGTGAACCTTAGCAGTTCGCACCCAGTAGAAGTGGCAGAATATGGAATGGTGATCTTTCTCTGAGAAGCTCATCTCTTCTCCACAATGACATGGCTTAGGCTCAGAGTGGTGAGGAAACTGGGTGTGCACATTTAAAAGATCTGCAAGAGACATGGCCTCTGATCAAGCTGAACACACCAAGGGAGACCTTAGAGGACGGAGGTCAGTAAGTTTTGTGCAGAGTGTCAAAAAAGAAGTAAAACTTTCTGTTGTCTATCCCCCCCTTTTGTACTCAGGTGGGTTATTCAGGGTAAAGTCACAATTTTGCACTTAGTAATTCCGTAACCATGGGCAAGTTACTTCTCCTATCCAAGCCTCCGTTTTATTTGCAAAATGGAACGATAGTTTCTGTAAAAACAGATAGTCCTCTCACGTGAGACTACATGAGCTAAGGCGCCTAATATACTTAATAGAGCATTTAATACATAGAAAACGCTCACTAATGGATAGGTAGCATTATTATTGCTGTTAGTACTGCTCGTGGCGAGCCGCTTACGAGCGTCAAAACCAAACCAAAACAAAACAAAAAAACCACCCCTTCAGTCGTTTAAGGGCTCCCTTGGAGTAACGCTCCCTAGTCGTCCCTACCTCAGGTCTGGACATAGACCCTTCCTCCGGCACTAAGGGCCGACCCCTCTGTGCCGGGCCGAGCAACTGCTGCAAGTCGCCGTTTTGCAGGGACCACCCTGGATGATTTGTGACACAGCAATAGGTAGTTAATTACACCTTCTGTACAAAGTCCTGTCCTTCGTTCCAGCCCCAGCCTATCCACCCAGAGTGCGCCTTGGGCATTCATTCATTTTACTACTCCAAAAGTCTGTTTCCTAATTTGTCTCTCTTCCACACCCACCTGTTCCCGGAGCCCGGGGCAGCATCCAGGCCCCCGGCGTGGCGGCCCAGCAGCACCTGGAAGCGGGCCTGAGCTAGCAGCCTCCAGCCAAGCATGGAGGAGCCGGAGAGGGCTCGAGTCGCCAGACTTCCGGGGACCCCTCCACTGTACCTTCAGGGAGTCCCCACGCACCCACCGCTACCGACCCAGAGCTGTCACGCCGGCTATCCGCCGTTTCTCTACCGGACGGGAAAAAAAGCGCAAGAGCCTTTTCCGGTCCGTCCCGCAATGAGTTCCGGGCACCGCCCCCGGCAGAACTTTAGTTCCGGGGGCTCAGCCCGGAACTATGCCCCGGGAATGGTCTTACTTTGAGTGGCAGCTGGTGTGGGGTGGGCGGGGACCGATTCACTCTCCAGGGGGTTTGGGGAAAAAAGTTTGGGGTTTAAACCTTAAAAAAGTGAGGTGTACTCGGGACAGGCATCTTAAGGAAATGAAATCACTTCTAAATAATGCCCGCTTGCTTTATTATTATACTAAGCAGAGCTTGATTTTCTTATATTGGTATATGCTCAAAACAGCCCTAAAGGGAAGTTGTTATTTTAATATTACAAATGAGGGAACGCAGACTCAGAATTGGTGTTGGTCCAAAATAGCATATCTATTTAGAAGATGAGCAGAGTTGGCACTGAAACAGGGCTGGCGCATGTTAGCAATAGAATATGGCCAAGGTGATGGTGTGTGACTTCCCCTGCTGGGTCATAAAAGGTTTGCTATTTCTGTCTTGGTTTCTTGGGATTGCTACCTATGTGGAAAGCCCTGGTCATGTCCTGCAGACACTCCAACAGCCCTGTAGAGAGGCCCATGTGAAGAGGGACCAACTCTCCAAGCAGGAGTGAGCCACCTGGGAGGGGAATCCCTCAGCCCCAGCAACGCTTCTAATGACTGCAACTCATGAAAGACCTTGAGCCTGAACTACCAAGCCAAGGAACTCAAGGGTTCCTAACAGAAGATGCTGCCAGAGAATGAGTGATTACTCTTATTTTGAGTCACTATTAGGATGATTTGTGACACAGCAATAGGTCGTTAATTACACTTTTTGTACAAAGTCCTGTCCTTTTTCCAGCCCCAGCCTAATCGGTCTTGAGCATTCATTCACTCTACTACTCCAAAAGTCTGTTTCCTAATTTGTAGAAATTTGGAAATAAAAACTAAAAAAAAAAAAAAAAGCTAGTTTAACGCCCTCTTTTTATAGCTATCTGGCTAGCCTGGCTTAAAAGATTCAGGGAACGATCCAATTCCTGGTTACTACTTGGACTTCAGTAGGCTCAAAACCTTTGCTTTGCTTTCTCTTTTATTTCACCAATTGTGATTATGCTGGGGGACTTCTAAACAACACTTTGGGCCTTGGAGGAAAAAATTACATTTCTTTATCCTAGCCATGTTTAAATGGCTTCCCAGTTACATAAGAGTGGCCCTTCATTAGCACACCTGATGATGTTAAACAAGGTTAAGTTTAATGAGCTTGCTGCAGCAAGAGAGTGCATACACCTAAGGGAATTTCTATAAGAACTGGGAGGGGCTTGTTATAAGATCTGGACTTATGCTTGGTGGTTTTAAGATGGCATGTGAGTAGCAGAGACTTGTTTTGAAATGAAGGCTATGAAGAAGCAAGACGAGTTCAGCAATTGGGATGATGTTGGTAAGAAATCAGAGATCACTCGGAAGAAGGAGCTGCTGTACCAACAGTGTGGCCTTGGATATGGACTCCTAGAAATATTGTACTGATGTTCCATTATAAACACTGCAGTCTGATTACTAAGGATTCATATTTACTCTTTCAGTATATTGTCTCATTTTATAACAACCCCATGTGATCATAACATAATCATCTCCATTTTAGAATTGAGAGGATAAACAGAAATATTACATACCTTTACATAATAAGAGATATTATATAAAGAGATATAAGAACGATTACATTACATAATAAGATAACTCTCCTAGTTAGTGGTAGAACCAAGATTTACATCTTGTCAGCGCATCCAGACAACTTGCACTCTCAGCCATTTTGTTTCTTTGGCTCTCTCTGATGAATTTGTTACTATCCTTGCATTGGAATTTCTTTGTGGTTAAAGAGGAGAACTGACACATAAACATATGATACATGGTGGTCAGTGAGGATTGAGGAGGCAGCCACTCAGTCTGACATTTGCCTGTAGTGCCAAATCTCTCTTGGTCCATAATGGGGACCTTGAGTCTGTGAAACCCTCAGCAAGAAGCACTGTTGAACTGAATCAAAGCAAAATGTGCTTCATCTGTTACACAGCACATGCCTCCTGATTGCTAGCCGGGGCTGGGAGGTGTCATTATACTCAGTTTTGTCACTGCAATGTGCTGCTAATTGACAAAGTCTGGGCCCAGTTCTTGGGGCACCCAGCTCAGGCTCCTTTTGTGCACTCAAGTATGGAGCTTGAGTTTCCCATTATTTCTGATACCCTCCTTTGAGACTGTCTTGGACCCTGGGACTCTGATACCACTTTGCCTCTCTGAGACTTTGGTCCCTCATTGGAAGAAAAATAACTCCCACTACCTCTTTTTAGTATAGCACGTCCTCGAAAAATGTCCTTTTGTTCCATGTCATTTTGTTATAACATTGATGAGATGCTGTAGGAACTGAACTCTTGTTTATGTCAATTAGCCTATGGTAAAACTGGTTTTGTTATTTGTCATTTCCCTTAAAGTCCCAGAACCTGTTGATGATATTAAGTGAGAACTTACTGCTGTACAATTCTATAATTCTTACTCCTCTAATTCAAACAAAAAGGTGATATAATAAAGGTTCTTTTTATAAAGTAAAACATTATGAATAGTTTTGTTTTTGAAGGAATAAGTTTCAAACCAAGGGTTTATTGGAAATACTTTTATTGTGTTCCTGACTTTAGGCTGTTCAGTTAGTTTTTTATAGTGTTCATGACATGTTCTGTATGGTTGGTTTGTTTCAGAATAACACACATTTTTTATTGTTGGTTAATTTGCATTTTATATTCATTTATGCTGTGTCTTAATTCATAATATGCCTTATAATAGAAATTTAAAATCTTTTTATAGTGAGATTAGTTTTTATTAAATTATTCTTGGCTTTCTTCCATCTTCCTAAAGAGAATTTAGTATAATTTAAAATTGATTGAAATATTATGAATGCAAGTCAAGCACTAGACGAGTGAATGTATAAAATGAACTTTAAGAAATTTTGAACTTTGAGATTTAATTGCTTGCTGGTGTAGAAATCTTACAAGGCCATATTGCAAAATCCAGGGATGCTCATTCAGTAAGAAGATAAATTCTGCTTCAATGTCCTCCATCAAGACCAAATTGCGAATTTCAACTTCAGTGTAGTGATTTTACAAGCATACTACAGGCTTGGGCAAAAACAGATGTACAGTTGTTTGTATGGCAAATAATACAATAATTAATAAATAATAATAATGCAAGAATTAACTGTTTCACACACAACTGTAAACCTATTTTTGCCCCACCCTGTATTTTTTTTTAAGTTAGCCCACAGATTTAGGGCTCCAAGAGATGACCAGAAGGGAAACACATTTGGCTTGAAGAAAGACTTAAAAAAAAAGCAATGTGACCATGTTGTGGTGTGGGTTGCAAGTCTCAGCATTCTGCCCCCTCTGTTGTATTCAGAATCATTTTGAAACTTAATGTATTTAAATCTGTGTGCATTTCTTTAAAGTTCTGTGATGACTGAAAAAAATAGAAACATTAGGGATGGGCCATGAAGAATCACATGCCAGTGGACCAAATGCTTTCAGCCAAGAACGGCCTTTCTTCCTGGTTTCCTTTCTGATGCCAGTGACATTTGTCACCCAGGACCATGGTCAGCATGTCCCCTGTGATCCCAGAAGACAGAATCTTGAGAAATTCCTGGAAACTGAGTTCATTTAGGATTTTGATTCTACTTGGAAAGGGTCCCATAAGAATGAGAAATAACTAGCACATTGCTCTTGTTAAGTGGCAGGTTTTAAGAGGCTTATATACATTAACTCTTTTACTCCTCAGCCATGAAGTAGGCACTATTATTCTCATCCTTATTTATAAGAAATTGAGGCATAGAGAAGATAAGCAGCTCATTCAAGTTCACAAACCTTAAGTGGTGGAACCAGGAGATGAGCCCAAGGGCTTCACTGCCTGTCTTCCAAGAAGAGAAGATTGCGTGGCACAGTACTGGAACACCAGCTTGGCACCCAGACGATGCCCCAGATAAGCAAGGACTGGGAATGGTAGTGTTAAGTCTGCGCCTCTAGAGATCTGACTAGTCTGGTCAGAATCAGCTGGGCTCACTAGAGAGCAGTGAGGCCAAACCACTTGAGATATTCCCTCATTCAATCATACACAGCTTTCTTGTCAGGAAAGAAACAGGAGGGTAGTTGATGTCTTGGATCAGTGCCTTTCTAACTTAGGTGCCCATAAGCATCGCCTGGGGGTCTTGATAAAATGCAGTCTGATTTAGCAAATATGATGTGAGGCCTGAGAGTTTGCATTTCTAATAAACTCATGGTCATGATGCTGCTGCTAGTGAGCAGACCACACTTTGAATAGTAGTAAAGTTCTAGAAAGAACTCTGGACCCAAAGTCAAGAAACTTGGGGCCCAGCCTCGGTTCTAAACTAAGCTAGCAGTGTAACACTGAATAAGTCCCCACTTTCTGTCTCCTCGTTTGTGAGATGCTGAGGGAAAAGGGTTTGTCCAACCCAGGCCCCTTCCAGCCTTTTCAGTGAAATTCTGTGTGGAAGGCAGAGTAATGGCATTGACATCCTGCTCCCTGGAACATTTGACTGTGTTTTGTGGTACGTTTTAGAGAGATTTGGTTGTATGATTAAGGTTAAGGACCTCAGGGGGTGGACATTTCCTGAATTATGTGGGCGAGCCCTAAATGCAATCACATGTGCTGCTAAAATCAGGGAAGCTTCATGGCTGCAGCAGCGAGAACAAAAAATTTAATCTAGATTCAATGTGGAAAGGATTTAGCCTATTGTGGATTTGGAGGCTGGAGGAAGGGAATGAGGAAGAGGTCAGCCAGCCGAGGAATGTGGTGGTCTCTGGGAGATGGAAAAGGCAGGAAATAGATTGCCCCGCTAAGGCCTCCAGAAGTGGCTGTGGCCCTGACAACACCTTCATATTAGTCCAGTAAGACCCATGTTGGTCTTCAGACTTTCAGAACTGCAAGGAAATAAATTTTCATCATTTTAAGGTACTCAGTC